ATTATAAATATATATATATATATATATATATATAAGCTAACCTGTTAGTAGCAACCGATAATTAATCCGAAAATTGTCATTTCGACAACTTGTCAGTAAATCGCGCCTACGCTGCACTGTATATGTAATTCATATGCGTTTGTATTTGTCTATTTTGATTCGGAATTCCCTTCTGCAGTTTTGTATGCTTAAAAGTTTTTGATTGAAATAAGGTTGTATTTTTCTAGTGTTTAGTAATTAGTTAATGAAGTAATTTACGCCAATTTTTGTTTTTAATACTACTATAATATACAATCTATAAAGTTTCACTTCTTACGCGTGTACACTAATACACGCTCGCCCCCTTTTTCTAATTTCTTAAATGTTAAAGGAATGGTGAAAATGAATACAGTGTTTTCAAATCCTGTCAAGTTTTTATTTTATACACTATTCATGTCCTTTCAGGTGTAGCTATTATGACACCATTTTAAGAAATATATTTCAACTTTGTCAATACTGACGGTTAGGTTTTGGCTTAAATTAGTTTCTTTGATTGCTACCACGAAAATAGTATGATTAAACACTCAAGTGTTATATACTAGAAATAAAAATGCTAACACAATTTATTTACTGATGCGAATCACTATAAAGTATCATTCACCTAATCCGGTCATAACGCACAAGTTATTGTGAAACAGAGTACGTGTAAAGCTTAAACGGTTAACAACAGCTCTAAAAAATGGTGCTGGGTTTGTGTGTTCGCAATCATATCTTCCCGAAAACTTAACTATCGCTTAACTTAATTATTTTATTGTTGTTTGAAACTTATAAATCCTTCAAATGTCAATCATTACTTAGCAAAAAATACTTTCACAGATGCACTTAATAGTAACACTTAAAGCTGATCAACGGAATCGTTAACTTTCTATAAAACTTCATATTAAAACTGAAGCTTTACAATAGACATACCTGTACATACTTAAGACTATAGAGTTATTAAGAGACTTCGTTACCTACCTTTTTAATATCTTTTTACTGTATATTTTGCAGGTATGGTTTAAGAATAGGCGAGCGAAATGGCGAAAACAAAAACGCGAGGAGCAGGAGAGACTGAGAAGAGTACAAGAAGATGAACTGAGTAGAGGCTCTACAACTGGACAAATACTTTCACGGAGTAAACCATCAAATAATACGTGTTACAGTGATGAAGAAGCGTCTGATTTAGAAGTGGCTTAAACAGACTCGATTATTCTATTTTAAATTATTAGCGTACTCATGAAGCATCTAATGTGAAATACCTTCACTTATTTCTACTACTTTAATCTTGAAATACTTAAAGAACCTCCCTATCATATATGGTTAAGTACGTATAAAATGCTTTTTCAGTCTTTCAGGCTAATAAATATAAAAATAGTACTCGTCTTATATTTTTCATCATACAGCTTATAAAATGCGTGCGTGTGTGAGCGCGTGTGCATGCGTGGATGTGTGTACGTGTGCGTGTGTATGTGTATGTGTACATGTGTGTGGGTTATCACTTTCATATTATCTATATACACTATCAATGATGCGAAATCGGACTGTAGTAAGAATACTATAGAAGAAAAAAATATGCGATGTTGAATAACAGCCTAGATAGGTATTCCAAAAATAGGTATATTTTCATGTACAGAAACTTCCGTTTAGAAATCAACTAATCAGCTTTATTTTAATACCTTTTCGCCATTTAACATAATTCCACATTTTTAAAAATGCGCAAATGTATTTCCGTCCTATCAAAGATATACGACAATACAACGCGGCATTCAATCAGTCGGTAATTAGCATATTTCTTTTGTATTTTTCTGCTGGTGTATTATTTATTAGTTGTTAGATTAGATTAAGTGTGATTCAAGATGTTCATGCTACGGTAAATCTGTAGTACCTCGTTTTTTCAACGTTTAAACCTTGTATTTAGTCAATCGTTGTGCAGTCCAATAAACTAATTCAGCAGTACAACGTCAGTCATTGAAGTAGGTCAGTATGTGACATGATACTTATTTACGGGTTTGAACCATTTTGTAAGTATAAAGAATTAACTCCTTGATTTCATAAATACTAGTGTGACGTAAATGCGTATGCCAACTTTCAGAAAATGATATAAAGATAGATGGAAATTAAAAATTAACAGAAAATGGATAATATGAACTAAAAAAGCCGAAAACACTAGAACTTAACGTTGACAATAAGTACCAAATTAGGAATGAATGTACATATAACATAAATAATAGGGGAATATCATATAAACAAAAACGTGTCGTAAATGTAAATACTTAAGGGCAATTTAGAATAAAATGTACGGAAAAGAAAATATAAATACAATGACAAAGAAATAGGGGTAAATATGTTGATTTTTGAAATATGACACGTAAAAGTATAGAGGACGAATAGTGAAAATTATATGAATACGATGTAATATGTTTATCAGAAACTATACAGATGAAAAAGATAGACTTTCGATTGAAAATAAATTGATAAACTATGTATAACTTTGACATGTTGCGACAAGAAGAGGAGAAGGGGAATGCAGAAGGTTAAAAGAAGGAATAGTCACCAAAATTAAAAACTCTCTTAATGTATACAATGTGAGTAGAGAAATGTTAAACCAAGAAAAAGGAAGATAACGAACGTAAATGTATATATGAGAGATAAAAGGAACATTAAGGTAAATTAATTTATGAATTAATTTTTGCCACTACAGATAACTCAAATTTATGAGGAAAAATTGTAATAATCTCTATTGTTACTATGTCTATTGAATTTTTTCTACTAAAATTTCTCTCTTTATTATTATTTTTATTACTTTATTACTTCTTTATTATATTGTCATATATTTAAACTCCTCCTCACACTACTACTACTTGTATATAACAATTTACTGTCTAAATAACACTTCTGTTATTAATTAGTTAATAATTCACAACTATTTAAACACTTTATCACTTCGTCGCTCTTTCTTCTCTTTCTATCGCCTCGAACTCTCTGGCTCGTACTAATCCATTCGATCTCGCGACAACTATTGATAGACTTCACGTTTTCTACAGTTTCCCAGCATATGTCGTCTAGAAACTTGGTCTTATTTATCACTATGCATGTTAGGTTGATTACATACATGTGACACTGCTTTTAATACTAGGGACTTGTTAGAACTGAGATGTGTTTGAAGTTTTTTATCGGACTCTTATTGAGTTGCAAGGGCGTCTTAGTCAATGGAACTTAATGCTTCTGAAATGCGTGAAAGTGTGTTGTCCTTACCCGAAATATGTTGTATTGTAGTGTTTTCGGTAGTTTTTGGTATTGCACAAATATGCGCGATGAATTAAAAGAAAACACTAACATAGAATTGGTCTTTAAGATTTAAATAAACACACCAACAGGAACAAGACAATCACAGAACAATAACAACAACAATAACGATAATAACAATATATGGTAAACTTACGAAATAGCTGGGAGAAAAGAACTACAAGAACTTTGAAGAACTCACTGACTTTTGAAATCGAAAATAAGGGTATTTATAGTTAATAATTGTTGAAGATAGACAAGGAGAAGGGTAGTTTAGAAGAAAGACAGAAGGTACAAGTACTGACGGTAAAAGTTCTCAGAAGTAAAGAGAATGGAATGTTATTACGGGGGAAACCAGATTGTTACTAATTATAAGACAGGGTACATGCAGGTATAGGGGTTCCAGGTAATGAAGCATGCGCAAGAGTTCGAAATTAAAGTTGAAAGTAAAGATTTAGAAATAAAATAAATTTTATAAAATAAAATTCAAATATTTAGAATATGTACAGATCGCTACAGTACCCTCCTGCTAGTGATAAGGTCACGATTATGGGCTTGCTTGATAGCGATCGGTGAAGCGAACCTTCCTGCCTGACCGAGTAACTGTGGGTTGGATTTGATCCTGGATAGGTTGCTCGGACTGCATCGTTTGTTGAGGAACTTTTTCTTGCGTGTAGTCCTCTGACATGGTAAATGCTGGTTTTAACCGGTCGATTGAGACCACGACATTTTTATCATTCATTCGCACGGTGAATGTTTTTACTGTCTTGCTAATGACCGTGTATGAACCTTCGTATGCAGGATGTAGGGGTTGTTTACGTCCATTATACCGTACGAAAACTTGATCGGTGTTAGCTAACTCCTTAAAGACGAATGTCTTCTGTTGTTTATGACTTGTAGCTGCAACTGGGGTCAAGTTTACGAAGTCGTTTTTGAGTCGCTTGGCGTAATCAGCTACATCCTCGAACGTTTCGTCCTTTCTTGGTGCTAGGAACTCTCCAGGCAATCTCCAGGTGGCTTGAATGTCTTCTTTCCATGCCGATCGTATTCCTAATAAAAGGGTAGATATAACTTCGGTCCATCGGTCAGTGGCGTGGCATATGATAGCTGACTTTAGTTGCGGGTGTAATCGTTCTACCATTCCATTGGCCTGAGGATGATATGCAGTCGTACGTAGGTGGGTTGATCCAGTCAGTTCGTTGAGGCGTCGGAAAAGATCTGATTCGAACTGTCGTCCCTGGTCGGTAGTTACTTGCAACGGTACGCCAAATCTGCAGATCCACCCTTCGTAGAACATCCGAGCCACGGTTTCGGTGGTCTAGTCCTCCAATGAAAATGCTTCCGGCCAACGAGTGAAACGGTCAACACAGGTAAGACAATACCGTTTACCTTCGGATACTGGCATCACGATCAAATCGATGTGGACATGGTCGAATCTGGATGCTGGTTGTTTGAAAATCCCGTGCGGTGCTGATACGTGACGCGTAATCTTCGAACGCTGGCATGGTACACATGCGCGAGCCCATTCGCGACAGTCTTTTTTTATGCAGGGCCATACGAAACGACTTGTCATCAGCTTCACGGTGGCTTCGATGCCGGGGTGAGAAAGGCCGTGGACTGCATTGAAAGCTGTTTTCCGAAATCTTGGCGTCAGAAAGGGTCTCGGAACTGCTGTAGAATGGTCGCAAAAAACAGATACACCCATACCAGGAATCTCGATCTTCTTCAGTTGAAGGCTTGATTCGGGGCGTAGGTATGTTTTTATTTCTTCGTCCTGCTGTTGGTCTGTTGCGAGGGCGGTGAAATCTAACGGTTCCTTGACCTCTTCTATTCGCGACAACGTATCAGCGACAACGTTGTCTTTTCCCGATACATGTCTGATGTCCGTGCTAAACTGAGCAATTAGGTCCAAATGACGCGTCTGACGGGGAGTCTATTTATCGGACTTTTGTTTGAAAGCAAATGTTAGAGGTTTATGGTCCGTGTATATGATAAATGTTTTCCCTTCTAACATATGGCGATAGTGTTTGATAGCTGCGTATATAGCTAACAATTCTCCACCATACGCACTATATTTGCACTCGGCAGGCCTTAACTTCTTTGAAAAGAAACCTAGCGGTTCCCAACCGTTGTCGACATGCTGGTGTAGGGCAGCCCCAACAGCTATATTGGAGGCGTCGCAGATGAGTGCTAGGGTTGCGTCAGTTTTGGGTGGGCCAGAAGGGTAGCTTCGGTGAAGCTATTCTTGCAAGCGACGAATGCTTCTAGTGCAGCCGGTGTCCACTCTATTGGCGCTTTCCCTTTTACTCCATCGTGCAAGAGACTGGTCAGAGGAGCTTGCTTATCTGCGGCGTTGGGCAAAAATTGGCGGTAAAAATTTAACATACCGAGAAATTGTCGCAGCTGCTTGGCGTCAATGTATGCCTAACAGAAGTCTAATCCACGCAATACATTGTCGATAAACCGTTGAAAAGTTGCGGCGGCGTTACGAAGCCCAAACGTCATATATTTGAACTCGAATAATCCAAACGGCGTGGTTATCGCAGTTTTTGGTATATCCTTCTCTGCGACCGGTATTTTGTTGTAAGCACGAACCAAATCTATCGTGCTAAAGATCTTCTTGCCGTGCAGTGCATGCGCAAAATCTTGAATATATTTTATCGGATATCGGTCTGGTATAGTTCGAGGATTTAAACTACGGTAGTCTCCGCAGGGTCTCCAACAATTGTCCTTTTTAGGTACCATGTGCAATGGCGGCGATCATGGACTCTTTGACGGACGTGCAATGCCGAGCTCCAACATTGCTTCGAATTATTTTTTTGCTGTTATCAGCCTTGCAGGGTCTAGACGTCTGGGTCTGTGGAATACAGGGGGTCCGGCGGTGGTGGTAATGTGGTGAACTACCTGATGTTCATTGTCGTTGTTTCACGCCTGACCACTCGGTTTTGTTAGGCTAGGA